CCCCTTTGGGACCCAGAAATAACAGGTGATCACCTTTTGGGACCTTTTCTCAAGTTGGAACAGGGGGAAGCCAAAAGGTCAAAAGGTCAATTCGACTTGGGCAACAGAAGGCATTTCTCTAAGGGTAGCTTCCCCATTCTTTCCAGGGATCCTTCTTTCTAGAAAACCACCAAAAACCCTGGGAAAACAGCTGGTTTTTGAAAAGAACGATGGTTGAAAAGAATGGGGAATCAACCCCTAGAATTTCTTTGGGGGGGTGGGGAGGAATTCCCGCAACCCAAATGGCCTTCTTTCAAAAGTCGTTGGGCTCCTTCGTAGCGAAAATGCACAGGCCCGAGTCCACGAGGGCGCGGCATGGCAGAGACATCCCTCCTCGGAGACATCAGGCCCATGGAATCGCCACTGATACTGTGAATGGTTGCGAAATCCAGAAATCGCACCTCAGAAACGCAATCCTAATTCTCGTGGAAATACCAACAAACGATAGTGTCCCATTTCAAAGCTGCGCAGGAGGTCATCCATCCACTGTATGTGTATCACATGGAAGCTTCAGTCCAAGTTGGGGCTTGTTGAACTCTCATTTTGCCCCTTACCTGCAAATTCTGCAATATGTCTGAGCCTGAAATAAGACATGGTGGAAGTAAGACATGGTGGGCTCATGTTGCCCCCGGATCAGTGAGCTCACCGCTAAATAGGCAGATATACAAACTGCATATCAGGATGCAGGCTATTTTCGTCCAAGTGGCACACGTTCCATGGCAACGTGGGGAAAAAAAGAGTAAGTTCAAAACCGAAACCAGATGTTGGATCCCGGCTAAGTTAAACTTTAGGTGCAAAGTACTTCCAGAGATCCCAGCCATCCTTGCTTGCGCCCAGAGAAAAATAAGTCCTGTTCCTCCAAGTCGCCCACAAAAGAAAAAGACTCAGACACACATATATATATATATATGTATATATATATATATACGCGCACACACACAAATCCCAGGAAAAGCCTGCCCACTTTGCATACGAGCCGCTGTTCCCCACCACTGCGGCGTAGTTGATCCGCGCTTTAGCCGCCTCCGCCTCCTTTGAAGTGGTTGGGGTCCTTTTGGCTTCTCACCTAGGTCCTCCAGTAGAAAGGATAAATAAGTTGGTACCACCTTTTTTCTGTAGTCTATTTTTGTAGGGGAACCCTCCCCCCAAAAAGGGTAAAGGGTACAAGGGCACTACTGGGGGACCTAGTTTTGGTTTCTCACCAGTTGCCTTCTGCAAAGAGGGTGTGATGTCCTGCTGTTTCTTCGAACATACGAAATCCATTTCGCATCACCTAAGAAACCCTGGAATGATGGCTCCCCCGTAAATCCCAACAAACGTTTTGGTTTCACCCATGGGCTCCAAAGTAGTGCGAGAAGCAGATTTCGTCCAGCCACCCTCTCTCCTTGAAACTAATGTTAACCCCGGATTAATAAACCCCTGGTTGATGTTGATCGGGGGGTGTCCCCTTTTAGTGGTTCGATTCAGACCACTTTTGGAGGGAACACCCGGACACCCCGCTAATAATAAGCAAGGGTTTACCAATCCTGGGTCAACATTACCGAGGAAGGGTCCCAATTTTTGAGCACCCCGCGTCACTCGGCACGTCGAAGAGCCGCTGCGCGGCGTCCCAGATGCGGCCGCAGGCAAAGGCGCGGAACAAGATGCCGAGGACCAGGACGAAGCCTTCCCAGCGCGCGCTGGTCCGACTCTCGTCCTCGGCTTCTGGCGAAAAGGGGGGGACGAGAAAAAAAAAACGCGGACTTGCTGGTGCAGTCTGGTTTGTTTTTGTGTTGTTTGTTGTTTTTTTGAGGGTACTCTTATGTAGTCTTGTTTGGTGGTTGTAAAGGGAACCAACGCGAAAACCACCTTCCTCTTTTTTGGAGGGGGTCTCCACACACCGTCAGGAATCCTTCGAGGGGTGTTGGGAATGAACCGGCCAGGGGTACCCTGCAAGGAAAACCCCTAGCCCATCAAACCAGGCAGGTGACCTTCGATCCCATGCAAATACAGTGTCATTATCATTTTGTGCAAGGCTCCCCTTCCGGCAGTAATGCTATCTTCCGTGTGGATTTCTGGTACGAAACATGCCGTCCAAATAGGGTTGTTTCAATGCATAAAACTGCGCATACCACTCCCAAGAAACTGCCTCCACTTCTGTCAACTTTATTCTTAGCAGGTGTGTGTTGTGGGGGGGGAGTGTCCTCGGGGTCCGGGGGAAACCCGAAAATTATCTTCTTTGGTTTCCCTTTTGAAAACGGGCGCCTTGTAAACGGGGACCGCCTTTCAAACAGGCAACCATGAAATCGGGGGCTCGATCGATTGCGCCAGTAAATGATGAAGAGATACAGATAGGAGGTAGATATCAGAACCTTTCTAATATTGGCTATCCTATCTCTTGGAATTCACAGAGGCAATCATAAAGCAGTTAATAATTCTGAATCACGTTCCTTTCGTAAAAGCCTTTTTATTGCTGAGGTTATTTCTTTTACAAATCCATTCATCTATCATTCATTATTTACTGTAATCTCATGAATCATATTTTTACTAATCAACTTTCATAAGTTTATTTAAAATCCAAAAAAGTCAGGATATAGAGAAGAGAATTAGAAAGAGAACCATCTTTTCATGCATTGTATCTTTTCATTAACTTTTGTTTATTTGCATATCTTGAAGGGATTTATCTTTGTTCACATCCTCGCCCATCAAATAATATTGGAAACAGCGAGGATACAAAGATAAGAAAAGGTGGACCATAAGATAAAGTCCTTGAACACAGAGCGGCTATTCCTTCATCATGGACGGACCCAATGGGCGGTTTGGAGACAGAAAGCGATACGGCTGTGTACCCAAAATGGGTTGCACTGGCACGTGGAAACACAATTTTGACCCAGGACGAGCCGTAGCAAGAAGAGGCGCAAGGTCAGTGACAACTCTGTGACCACTGGGGCCCGCAAGGGTCAAAGCATTCACAATGGACCATCCTTCGGCCGCCTTCTCCATTCCCAGGCTAGTGCTCTCCCCGGATTAAATTCTAGTTTATTTTATAGGGGGGGTGGCGGGAAATCAGACCACTTATGGAATTTGGAGGGGCTTCCACCCCCCCCGCCCCCACCCCCGGAAAAATAGGCCAGGCTCTACGATCCGGACAGGCCGAGCTTCCAAGCTGGCCGTGTACTCCATCAGCGGCCCCTTGGGGAAGCTCCACACCTCGGATCTTCAGATTTCATGAAATGGACGCAGCAGCACCCAAAACCCATTGGTTCTACTGGCTATGGCGGCTTGGGCTTTACCAGAAACTGAACTAAACCAGATAGTAGAACCACCTACTAAAATGGCCGCTGCTCACAGGGGCTCTCGAAATGAACACCTCTACAATGGATGGGGTCCAAATAAACGTTTTGTGTCCGTTGCAAAACAGCCCCACAAAGGGGTATATACCCTGCAAACAAGACACACATGCACACATCAAACACCTTGTGCATCCGGATGTGAACCCTGAGTATGTTGGTTCATTGAACCCTCGACTATGGTTTAATTGTGGGAAACTAGGCCCAAAAGGGCCTAAAATTAGCCGAGTTCAGGATTTGAGTCAGACCTACACACCCATATATGAGTTCATGCTTTTTTAAGCCCTTTTCTTGAGGTTGCCTTAAAGAAACCCCAAAGGAAAACACAACCCTCTGACTAGAAATCCTGAGGGCCCCCTGGTTGTTAATCATTTTTTGATTTACCCACCAAGGACGGTGCCTGTTTCATGGACGTGGGCCAGGATCTCTCTCTGCATTGCTTGGGGGTGGTGGGGTCATCCGCGCATTCCATCTTGGAGTCATTCGCGCATTCAATCCCGTTCAATCCCGCAGGGTCATCTGCGCACGCAATCTTGGAGCCATTCGCGCATTCAATCCCGGAAGTGCCCACCACAGCAGAGGGTTTGGGGGCTGGGGTTTGGGTTTGGGGTTGGCTTACATCACTTTAGGTTTTTGGGTTTGGGGTTTAGGCTTTTGGGTTTGGCTCGCATCACTTTAGGTTTTAGGTTACTGTAGGGTTTAGGCTTTTGGGTTTGGCTTTAGGATTTAGGCTTTTGGGCTTGGCTCGCATCACTTTAGGTTTTAGGTTACTGTAGGCTTTAGGGTTGTGGATTTGGGTTTAGGGTTTAGGCTCTTGGGTTTGGCTTGCATCACTTTAGGTTTTAGGTTACCGCACGTTTTAGGGTTCTGGGTTTGGTTTTAAGGTTTAGGCTTTTGGGTTTGGCTCACATCACTCTAGGTTTTGGGTTTTGGCTTTAGGCTTTTGGGTTTGGCTTTAGGATTTAGGCTTTTGGGCTTGGCTCGCATCACTTTAGGTTTTAGGTTACTGTAGGGTTTAGGCTTTTGGGTTTGGTTTTAGGATTTAGGCTTTTGGGCTTGGCTCGCATCACTTTAGGTTTTAGGTTACTGTAGGCTTTAGGGTTGTGGATTTGGGCTTAGGGTTTAGGCTCTTGGGTTTGGCTTGCATCACTTTAGGTTTTAGGTTACTGTACGTTTTAGGGTTCTGGGTTTGGGTTTAAGGTTTAGGCTTTTGGGTTTGGCTCACATCACTCTAGGGTTTAGGTTACTGTAGGTTTTAGGCTTTTGGGTTTGGCTTTAGGATTTAGGCTTTTGGTCTTGGCTCGTATCACTGTAAGTTTTGGGTTTTGGGTTTAGGCTTTTGGGTTTGGCTTTAGGATTTAAGCTTTTGGCCTTGGCTCGCATCACTTTAGGTTTTAGGTTACTGTAGGGTTTAGGCTTTTGGGTTTGGTTTTAGGATTTAGGCTCTTGGGCTTGGCTCGCATCACTGTAGGTTTTAGGTTACTGTAGGCTTTAGGGTTGTGGATTTGGGTTTAGGGTTTAGGCTCTTGGGTTTGGCTTGCATCACTTTAGGTTTTAGGTTACTGTACGTTTTAGGGTTCTGGGTTTGGTTTTAAGGTTTAGGCTTTTGGGTTTGGCTCACATCACTCTAGGTTTTGGGTTTTGGGTTTAGGCTTTTGGGTTTGGCTTTAGGATTTAGGCTTTTGGGCTTGGCTCGCATCACTTTAGGTTTTAGGTTACTGTAGGGTTTAGGCTTTTGGGTTTGGTTTTAGGATTTAGGCTTTTGGGCTTGGCTCGCATCACTTTAGGTTTTAGGTTACTGTAGGCTTTAGGGTTGTGGATTTGGGCTTAGGGTTTAGGCTCTTGGGTTTGGCTTGCATCACTTTAGGTTTTAGGTTACTGTACGTTTTAGGGTTCTGGGTTTGGGTTTAAGGTTTAGGCTTTTGGGTTTGGCTCACATCACTCTAGGTTTTAGGTTACTGTAGGTTTTAGGCTTTTGGGTTTGGCTTTAGGATTTAGGCTTTTGGTCTTGGCTCGTATCACTGTAGGTTTTAGGGTTCTGGATTTGGGCTTAGGGTTTAGGCTCTTGGGTTTGGCTTGCATCACTTTAGGTTTTAGGTTACTGTAGGTTTTAGGCTTTTGGGTTTGGCTTTAGGATTTAGGCTTTTGGTCTTGGCTCGTATCACTGTAGGTTTTAGGGTTCTGGATTTGGGCTTAGGGTTTAGGCTCTTGGGTTTGGCTTGCATCACTTTAGGTTTTAGGTTACTGTAGGTTTTAGGCTTTTGGGTTTGGCTTTAGGATTTAGGCTTTTGGCCTTGGCTCGTATCACTGTAGGTGTTAGGGTTCTGGATTTGGGCTTAGGGTTTAGGCTCTTGGGTTTGGCTTGCATCACTTTAGGTTTTAGGTTACTGTAGGTTTTAGGCTTTTGGGTTTGGCTTTAGGATTTAGGCTTTTGGCCTTGGCTCGCATCTCGAGAAGGGTTTCTTGCAAACATCACACCAACCAGAGGAAAATCAAACACATGAGACTGAGAAATGATGCTTAAGTCACGCACAGAAGGAGACTCAAGACCCCTGACGAAATGCCTTCTTCAAATCTACTTGTCTACACTGAAGAATCCTTGGACACTCGCTCAGCACAACTCAAGGTAGGAAGCCCTTGAGCAGAGCTGCCTAGTGCTTGCCAGTAGCTCCAATCAAACGTGCGTTCCATGGGCAACACTCCCGCGTAGGATGCTTTACAAGGGTTGTCTAAAAGCCCTATTACAAGATTGACGCTCGTCCCTACCAGCCCCAAGTAAAACGGAGACATGTCAATTTGACCCGCTCCAATTTTTCAAGCAAGGCTTACCTGCAGAAAGACCGCCAAACGTCTCTGCTTGTCAGAGGCCAGATCCCAAAGCTCCAGTGGACACAGAAACAACGCCGCCCCCTTGTTGGGGTCGTCTCCAAAACAGGCTTTGAAACCCCAAAGCAGCCCTCGAAATAGCAACAAATCAACCTGCAGTGCATTTTGCTCTAACGACCTCCAGCTACTTCCAGAACCAGGCCATGCCAGCAAATCCAACAGCAGCAGTCTCCAATGACCGACCTACAAACGTCGCAGCTCGACCACTTTTCCTGGGCATGGCTGAGTCTTAGGTTTGGCCACTTTGTGACTCTCGCCACTTTACTGCGACTTGTAGGCCGCCGCGTATGCCTGCAAGCGGTTCATACACGTCTGCATGGCCTCGGCCCATGTTAAGCGACTCGAGGTGTCGATGCCGCGCGGTAACGCCTGCAGGGCCAATGTCTAAAACCCAAAGCTGTCGTACTTTCAAGCATGTTTGATATTCCTGTTTCCCTTGTTGTTTTTTTTCAACTCCCCCCCGCCCCACCCCAAACTAAATGCTAACATCGCCAAACAGAGAGGGAGTTTGAAGACAGGACCCTAGTAGCAGCCCGCGCATTCTTGGCCTGCCTCCCGCACCACGCTGTCTGGCAGGAACCCAAAGCGTGCTTGCACGGTCTTGATCTGCCGGCATCTCTTGCAGTGCCACGCAGACTCCGTGCTGACCTCGAGCCACTCATCCCAATCTGCGCCGTCCATGGCTTTCTAGACTTGCGCCACTTGCTGCGGCAAAAGTTTTGAGTCGCAGTCCAAGCCACGCATGAGTTGGTAGCTGCTGCGCCACTCAAGGGCTCTAAGCGGCAACTTGTCAGCGCGCGTGCTTTTCGGCTCTTCTAGGCGCAACGTGATTGGACTGGTTTGAATTTCAATGTCCGTGCAAAACACAGCATCCGGGCAAATTTCACGGAATCACTGTCTTGGCTGCATGCAGCCGGGTGCAAATAAGAAATGCATCCAAGCAAATTACATGGACTCACTGTCTTGGCCGACTTCATCTGTGTCATCTGGACAACTCAGTACACGGGGCTGTCGTGGCTGCCTTCATCTTCAGACTGTGACAGGAGCGCGTCATGAAACTCGTCTTCAGACATGAGCGTATCATCTTGGCGACCTGCAGACAGGAGAGCATCGTTCTGGCTTTGGGCAAGCTTCGTTAAGAGCTTTTGCACCTGCTCCATGGTGTCGCCCACTGCTCTGGCGCACTTGTTTGTAGCGCGCGCGGCAAACCGCGCGCAAAACAGCTCGCCCAGCTGCGCCCTAGAGCCAGCGAGATCTTGCCACGGCATGCCATTGCCGACGACGCGGTCCGTATCGGAGACGAGGTTCTCCAGCAGCGCCCACAACTCATGCGGATACAAATCGGCAAAATGCAGCGGGGCAAACAGGCGGACCCGCCGATGCAGGGCGGACTCATCGGCGCCATCATCCACCAGGGCGCGCAAGGCCAGCAGCCACCCGAGGGCGACGGCCATGTTGGCGGTGCCTGTTTCTTGACAAGGCATTGCCGCTGAGCCACTGTTTGCCTGAGCAGCAAAAAGCTACGACGCGGCGATGCATCTTCAGCACGCACTGTCCTCTTGACGGAGCAAGACTGAAGCTGCAGGGTGCGCTTCCTTACCAAGCGAACATCCACACAAGGACCCATGAAGTCACATACCGGATTTAGGGGGGGGTCTTTCCCCAAAAGCTTCCCCAAAACTTTTTATTGGGGCTGAGGTGGAAAGGGCCTTGCTTCTGGCACGCTCAAAGGTCAGGCTCTGCAAGCTGCTTGGCCAATCCATTCACAATGCCGGATTTAGGGGGGGGTCTTTCCCCAAAAGCTTCCCCAAAAGGTTCTCCAAAACTTTTGATTGGGGCTGAGGCTTCTGGCACGCTCAAAGGTCAGGCTCTGCAAGCTGCTTGGCCAATCCATTCACAATGCCGGATTTAGGGGGGGTCTTTCCCCAAAAGCTTCCCCAATTGGTTTCCCCAAACTTTTGATTGGGGCTGAGG